GTCTCGGATTCTCGACACACTCTGATGTGAATGTGAGTGAATGTGAGGCGCTGGGATGGGATGACCGCGTGATGAATCAATATAGGACGTTGGCATGATAGGCACGTTGTATGCTAAACCTTATGTGTTGTATAGTCTATGTGGAACCCAACCTCGTAACAACAACATCACCCCTCTACGTGTCTCTCACACATCTATCTCACCGCCCACGTCCAATCTCGTGAACTTGTTACATTCTTATCTAGACCGCATACACCCTCTCACCCCATCTCTCTGCAAGGCTAGGTCCTACAAAGTCCAGCTCAGTCCTGCTTGGCAGATTAAATGAGGCGAACAACCTTAATGGAATGAGTAAAACGTCTCTTACTGGACTGGGACTACTGCGGAGCCGGAAAGCAGAAAGCGAAAAGCGGGAATCCAGTCTGGCGAGCGATATCGTGGAGCAAGGGCAATGATGTCAGGTTCGAGCTGGGATATAATTTTTTAACTTCCCAGGGCTCCATCATATGTAGTATGCTATACCATACCAAAACAAGTCTGCTTCCCGTGCTCCTTCTTTCTAGATCCAGCAGAGTGGGAGCTAGGTAGGTACATATACCCCGGGTCTACTTACGCACGCACCGAGACGAGCAGCTGGCTAAGGAGTCTGAGGGATGGCGTACCGGTATATTTGTGTCACTGTTGTATAGAAGTTAAGGCTGAAGGCTTGTTGTTTGGTTTACCGGTAGCGTAGGGTTGTGTTTGGGGCTATGGCTGGATGTATGGTGGGTGGGGTGGATACATAATGGTTAATTTAGTAGATTGATACTAGCACTGAGTTTCCGTAGTGTTGGACATGTTTAAGATTTGAATTTGCCTTGTTGGCGGCGTTTATATAATGCTGAGCCAGTCTTGTGGGAAGTGAGATGTGGGGTTTAGGGGTTGTGGCTGTGAATTAAGGTCTTTTCTTTGCACTTGAAATTGAGATTCTCATTCTTCCTAGGATATCATGCTACCTTTGTAGCTCGGGTCATAACGTCATAAAACCAATGCAAAACACAAATCCCACCAAACCCCACACAATTCCCAACCCGCCTACGTCTCACCACCCTTTCAAACCCCAGAAAACGCACAATCTATCGTACACACCGTCCTACACACGCACAGCCCCCTACACCACGAACCCCCCCACCCCATCACCGCACCCAACCCCCAACCTCCTCCTTGACAGCCGGATCCACCAACATAAAGCCGTCAAACTGCATGACGCCCACACGCGGCAGACTCCTGAGCAGCAAACTGGCAATCGGCAAGGCGTGGTCACCATACCGAACCCGAGCATACCAGTCTGCGTGATCGCCGTCGCGGACGTAGAGTGCAATCTGGCGTTGAATC